GGACTAGAACTCCCCGTCTCCTGGCGATTGGCCCAAAGTCACCCAGTTGGCTTTCATGCCTGAGGCGGGACTAGAATTCACTTCTCCTGGCGATTGGCCCAAAGTCACCCAGCCGGCTTTCATGCCTAAGGCAGGACTAGAACTCCCCGTCTCCTGGCGATTGGCCCAAAGTCACCCAGTTGGCTTTCATGCCTGAGGCGGGACTAGAACTCCCCGTCTCCTGGTGATTGGCCCAAAGTCACCCAGTTGGCTTTCATGCCTGAGGCGGGACTAGAACTCTCCGTCTCCTGGTGATTGGCCCAAAGTCACCCAGCTGGCTTTCAAGCCTAAGGCGGGACTAGAACTCCTGCTTTCTACCCCTTTGCCTTAACCACTAGAACAAACCAAACATCAGACATATTTACAAATAGGGGAGAACTTTTTATTACCTTAAAACAATTCCATAAAATAATATAAGCAATTCCCCTAGCTCAAGGGTAGGTAATATTGGCTCTTTTATGACTGGTGGACTTCAACTCCCAGAATTCCTCAGCCAGCATGGCTCAGCTTGGAAACCTCTCCCTTTCCCCTCAGCATGGCTGGCTCAGGAATTCTGGGAGTTGAAGTCCACAAGTCATGAAGGGGCCAAATTTTTCCCCATGCTGGCTGAGGAATTCTGGGAGTTGAAGTCCACCAGTCATGAAGGGTCCATAGTTCTCCCATGCTGGCTGAGGAATTCTGGGAGTTGAAGTCCCCAAGTCATGAAGGGGCCATAGTTCCCCCATGCTGACTCAGGAATTCTGGGAGTTGAGGTCCATGAGTCATGAAGGGTCCATAGTTCTCCCATGCTGGCTCAGGAATTCTGGGAGTTGAAGTCCAGGAGTCATGAAGGGGCCATAGTTCCCCCATGCTGGCTCGGGAATTCTGGGAGTTGAAGTCCACGAGTCATAAAAGAGCCAAGGCTGCCTACCCCTGCCCTAGCTGTAGATGTGTGTGATGTCATGATGCCAATATGAAAGAGTCCTGTTGTGTTGTCTCCTGCTTTTTCCCAAACTGGAACCCCTTTGGAATTGGTTACAAACAGAGCAACGGCTTATTCCAGATCCCATCAGTCAGTCCAAAGTTAATTAAGTCTTGTCAAATCTCGGTGACTTAACTCTCAGGATTAAGAAATCGAGAAGAACATCTGTGACATTTTTGCTTGAAGCCCCTCAGCGTTGAGGCTCTCCTGCCGGAAATCCCATAAAATTAAAACGGGAGAAGATGAGCATTTGTTTCTGGATTTGCCTTTATTGTGGCTTGCGAGGGGCCCTTGGTGCGCTCCGAGCTGGCTTGTTTTTATTTTTATTTTTGCAGATATTTCATTACCCAAACTAGCTAACGTCACCCCCTCGCGCTGATGATGTTACCTACTTGGGTAATGAAATGTCTACAAGAAAACAAGCTCGGGGAGCACCAAGGATCCCACATTTCAACCCCAATCTACAAATACTCTCCTTTGTTGGATGATGGTTTGTTGGCCATGGCCCCCTCCAGCAATTTTAAGCAGCTTACACCTCATGGGATCGTACAACGGGCAAGAAAATGGTCAATTCTAATTGTTATCAGGTCAGGGAATCCGATTAAGACCCAAATCGGTTCTGGCTTCCATTTATTGTACACCTTTCGTTCTGAAGACTATTTTTGGTTGACTTGGCAACCTGAAGACGTGTGGACTTCAACTCCCAGAATTCCTCAGCCAGCATGCCTAGCTGAGGAATTCTGGGAGTTGAAGTCCAGGGGTCTTCCAACTTGGCCCTTTGATGACTTGTGGACTTCAACTCCCAGAATTCCTCAGCCAGCATGCCTAGCTGAGGAATTCTGGGAGTTGAAGTCCAGGGGTCTTCCAACTTGGCCCTTTGATGACTTGTGGACTTCAACTCCCAGAATTCCTCAGCCAGCGTGCCTAGCTGAGGAATTCTGGGAGTTGAAGTCCAGGGGTCTTCAAACTTGGCCCTTTGTTGACTTGTGGACTTCAACTCTCAGAATTCCTCAACCAGCGTGCACACTGGCTGAGGAATTCTGGGAGATGAAGTCCACAAGTCATCAAAGGGCCAGGTTTGAAGACCCCTGCTCTAACCATTGATAAAATAGGTCCCAAGTTTGAAAATATTCTGTTTCTTCTTTTTCTTTCAACCTTAAAGTAAGTCTGTCCATTTCCGCACGGCCTAGTGTTTTTTTTAAATTATTTCTTCTTCTGGCACTGTTTCTTCGTTCTTCCAGAATTGTGCAAATATAATTCTTGCCGCTGTTATCGCATGTAAAATCAAGTATGCACTTCGCTGATCACGTTTTTCTGGCATTATACCTAGTTAAAAAAAAAAATCAGGTTGATAATCTATTGTGTTTCTCTAACATTTTTTCTAACCCCGTGTGAATTTTTGTCCAAGATCTCCTGGCTTTAACACACGTCCACCACGGTTTCCTTGCTCTGAAGTCCTGTCTCCATCTTGGTCTCTATGTTTGACTGTTCCTACGAACTCTCTTCTCTCTCTCTTTTTTTCCCCCACCCAGTTAACAGTTGGACATTTGGGAAAAGTTGTGGAAGAGAAGCAATCTTTTATCCTGAAAGACATCAGCTTGGTAGGTCCATCAGAAAAAGAGGGTTTGGGTTCATCCCTTCTGGGTCCTCAACTTCCCACAGTTCATTTAGTGGCCGTTCCAACTTCCAACGGCACAGAAAAAAGGGACTTATAGTAGTGGCCAAAATTGTGGAAACCTTTTGGGAAAAGCGTATTTTTGAGGTTCGATGGCTAATAACACCACTTTTTTTGGAATAGTACCATAAAATTATATATCAATGGAAAGATCGTTTAATCAAGAATGTAATGCAACAAAGTTTGTTCAATTATCTGCACTGTATTCTACGCAAAGTTGTAGCCAAATAACCAGAAAAAGGAATCACAACTTGCTTAGGTTGATGTCAGGTAGCTTTCCTTCCTCTGATTGTAGCCAATGAGCATGAGTGTTCAGAGAGCCAATCGGGTGTCATCTTGTTTTGGCCATGAGCCAATCAGATCACAATAGGATCCGGTTATTGATGTCATGTATTGAAGCCGAGAGGAGGACATTTGTCAGTGTGTTATGTGATGGCTATCAAGTCATTTGGGGTTGTTTTTTTTGTGTTCTTTCATTTAGTGAGCTTGTAAAAAGTCATAAAATTAAAGTAATGGTGCAAAGAGTTGACTGGTGGCCCAGAAAGCGATATAAAATAGTATTATTAAGTGAACGAGGCTACAGTTATAAAGAAATTAGAAGAAAAATGGGTGGAAACTTAACCAAAGGTGGCATTTCTATTGTACACTTTCCCCAAAAGGTTTCCACAATTTTGGCCACTCCTGTACAACCGTTTCCCACATGGACGTCCATTGCAGCATCCCCACGGTCACGTGATCAAAATTCAGATGCTTGGCAACGGAGCAGGGGGCTGGACTAGGAGACCTCCCAGGTCCCTTCCGACTCCAATTCTGTTATTCTGACTCATATTTAGGACAGTCACAACGTCCCGGGGGGGTCCACGTGATCCCCTTTTGCCACTTTCTGACATGCCAAGTCAATGGGGGAAGCCGGATTCTCTTAACGGCCATGTTGCTAACTTAACATCTGCAGTGATTCGTTTAACGGCGGTGGCTAGAATGATGGCTGGTTCGCACCGACGTTCTCCTCTTTCGTTCCAGGAAGAGCACAAGCAGTTGAACACCATGCTGGGCTTTGAGGTGACCTCCATGCTGTGCGTCCCTGTGGTCAGCCGAGCCACCTCCCAAGTGGTGGCCTTGGCCTGTGCCTTCAACAAGCTTGGTGGCGAAAGGTGAGTTGGGGACTCGGTGGTACTCAGGGGAGCAGGAAGAAGAATCCCTTCCTGCTTCTCCTTGGGAGATGACTTAAGCATCGGCCCTCAACTGTGAGCCCTGTGGGGGTGAATAACAGAATGACAGAGTTGGAAGGGATCTTGGAGGTCATCTAGTCCAACCCCCTGCTCAGGCAGGAGACCCTATGCCATTTCAGACAAGGGTTTGTCCAGCCTCTTCTTCAAAACTTCCAGTGTTGGAGCATTCACCGCTTCTGGAGGCAGGTGGTTCCACTGGTTAATTGTTCTAACTGTCAGGAAGTTTCTCCTTAGTTCTAAGTTGTTTCTCTCCTTGATGAGTTGTCTGTCTGTCTTTCTTTCTTTTTCTTTCTTTCTTTCTTTCTTTCTTTCTTTCTTTCTTTCTTTTTTCTTTCTTTTTTCTTTCTTTTTTCTTTCTGTCTTTCTTTTTCTTTCTTTTTCTTTCTTTCTTTCTCTTTTTTCTTTCTCTTTCTTTTTCTTTCTTTCTCTTTCTTTCTTTCTGTCTTTTTCTTTCTTTCTTTCTTTTTTCTTTCTTTCTTTCTTTCTTTTTCTTTCTTTATAATAATAACAACAATAAAGTTGGAAGGGACCTTGGAAGTCATCTAGTCCAACCCCCTGCTCAGGCAGGAAACCCTATACCATTTCGGGCAAATGGCTGTCCAGTCTCTTCTTAAAAACTTCCAGTGTTGGAGCATTCACCACTTCTGGAGGCAGGTTGTTCCACTGGTTAATTATTCTAACTGTCAGGAAGTTTCTCCTTAGTTCTAGGTTGCTTCTCTCCTTGATTAGTTTCCACCCGTTGCTTCTTGTCCTGCCTTCTTCAGGCGCTTTGGAGGATAGGTGGACCCCCCCCTTCTTTGGGGCAGCCCCTGAGATACTGGAAGGCTGCTATCATGTTATCCTTAGTCCTTCTCTTCATTAAGCTAGACATACCCAATTCCAGCAACTGTTCTTCGTATGTTTTAGCCTCCAGTCCCCTGATCATCTTTGTTACTCCTTCTTCACGAGGCCACTGGACTTTTCTGGTTTTTCTTTGAAGACCTTTTGCTTCCCACCCAAGAAGCTTCTTCTGCTCTTCACCCCAGAGCTGAAGAAGCTTCTTGGATGAGAAGCGAAAGGCCTTCAAAGAAAAACCAGAAAGTCCCGTGGCCTCTTGAAAAAAAAGCACCTTTGGGACAACCAGGACCTGGATAATGGAGAATCTCCATGGACAACATCTTTGTTGCTCTTCTCTGTTCCCCACAGCTACACTGAAGCTGATGTCTACAAAATCCAGCATTGCTTCTGCTACACTTCCACGGTGCTGACCAGCACGCTGGCCTTCCAGAAGGAGCAGAAACTCAAGTGGGAGTGTCAGGTAAGGGGTACACCCACCTGTCCTTGGCCTTCATTATCCCCAGGTTGTCCTGAGAACAAAACTCATATTCTTTGAGGTCCATCTGCCAAGTGGGACACATCTGGAATGAAGAGGTTCCTCAGAGCTGTCCAAATGACTGTCCAATCTCTTCTTAAAGACTTCCAGTGTTGGAGCATTCACCGCTTCTGGAGGCAGGTTGTTCCACTGGTTAATTATTCTCACTGTCAGGAAATTCCTCCTTAATTCCAGGTTGCTTCTCTCCTTGATGAGTTTCCATCCGTTGCTTCTTGTCCTGCCTTCAGGCGCCTTGGAGAATAGCTTGACTCCCTCTTCTTTGGGGCAGCCCCTGAGATACTGGAAGGCTGCTATCATGTCCCCCCTCGTCCTTCTCTTCATTAAATTAGACATGCCCAATTCCAGCAGCCGAATTCTTGCTTTCCCTTCCTCCTTCCTTCCTTCCTTCCTTCCTTCCTTCCTTCCTTCCTTCCTTCCTTCCTTCCTTCCTTCCTTCCTTCCTTCCTTCCTTCCTTCCTCTCTCTTTCTTTCTTTCTCTCTTTCTCTCTCTCTCTTTTTCACACACACACACAAACACACTCACACTCACACAAAGACAGGACTTTTCAGCTTCCAACCTGCACACAACCCCTTGATTTCCTTTGGGCCAGCCATGTACTCAGGGCTCCCTCTGGCGGTGCTGTTTGGAACAATATTGCATGCCTTTGGTACCGTTCACTCTTCCCTTAAACCAGTGGTTCTCAACCTTTTTAATGCCGTGACCCCAACCGGTTGTAAGTCGAGGACTAAACCGGTCGTAAGTCGAGGACTACCCAACCGGTCGTAAGTCGCGGACTTTCCCTGCCCGGGAGCGCAGCGCATGCGTGGTTCCGCCCCCTGCGCCGGCCGAGGCGTAGCTGGCAAGCGGCAGAGACGGAGCAGGCCGACCACCAGCTGGCCCAGCCCAAGGGAGGTAAGGCACCCGCCGGAAAAGGGGAAAAAATGGCGGACAAAAAAAATGGCAGACAAAAAAAATGGCGGACAGCCTTGCTTGGCGACCCCCGTGAAATCCAGCTAGCTGGGGTTTACCCCAGGGCTGGGTGTCCAACTCTTGGTGACGGAATTTGTCGACGTCGAATAAGTGGTTTACGATTAAATAACATTTAACCCAATGTCCGTTTAATAATAGCTTTCTTAGATACGGTCACCAAGAGTTGGACACCCAGCCCTGGGGTAAACCCCAGCTAGCTGGTATTCATGGGGGTCGCCAAGCAAGGATGTCCGCCATTTTTTTTGTCCGCCATTTTTTTCCCCTTTTCCGGCGGGTGCCTTACCTCCCTTGGGCTGGGCCAGCTGGTGGTCGGCCTGCTCCGTCTCTGCCGCTTGCCAGCTACGCCTCGGCCAGCGCAGGGGGCGGAACCACGCATGCGCGGCGCTCCCGGGCAGGGAAAGTCCTCGACTTGCGACCGGTTGGGTAGTCCTCGACTTACGACCGGTTTAGTCCTCGACTTACGACCGGTTTAGTCCTCGACTTACGACCGGTTGGGGTCGCGGCATTAAAAAGGTTGAGAACCACTGATCTATGCGGTCACTGAGAGCGGACAGCAGCTCGATGGCCCATAATCAATCCACTTGATTGCAAATGCATTTAGGGACTGAGCTGGTGGATTAAGGAACCTGGAATGGTTCCTACCTTCGCACAACACAGAATAACAGAGTTGGAAGGGACCTTGGAGGTCTTCTAGTCCAACCCCCTGCTCAAGCAGGAGACCCTATACCATTCCAGGCAAGTGACTGTCCAGTCTCTTCTTAAAAACCTCCAGTGATGGAGCGCCCACGATTTCTGGAGGCCAGCTGTTCCACTGGTTAATTGTTCTCACTGTCAGGAAACTCCTCCTTAATTCCAGGCTGCTTCTCTCCTTGATTAGTTTCCATCCGTTGCTTCTTGACTTTAGGTGGATACCCCCCCCTCTTCTTTGTGGCAGCCCCTCAAATATTGGAAGATGCTCTATCCATTTCCACACAGGCCAGTATTTTCTTAATCATCTCTTCACCCAATGGTATTTTTTCCTTTTTCCAGTGCTGAGCAAATACAATCCTCGCTGCCGTGAATACATGTAAAGTAAAATATACACTTTGTTTATCATTTTTTTTCTGAAATTATACCTAGTAAAAAGAGTTCAGGTTTAAAATCTGTGTGTTTCCCTAACATGTTTTCTAACCAAGTATGTGTGTTTGTCCAAATTTTCTTTTGCTTTAACACACATCCACCACAAGAATCAAGATCACGTGAAGTGTTAATACCACTTTACAAGGCCTTGGTAAGGCCGCACTTGGAATACGGCATCCAGTTTTGGTCACCACAATGTAAAAAAGATGCTGAGACTCTAGAAAGAGTGCAGAGAAGAGCAACAAAGAGGATCAGGGGACTGGAGGCTAAAACATATGAGGAACGGTTGATGGAATTGGGTATGTCTCGTTTAATGAAGAGAAGGACGAGGGGGGACATGATAGCAGTCTTCCAGTATCTCAGGGGCTGCCCCAAAGAAGAGGCAGTCAAGCTGTTCTCCAAAGCGCCCGAAGGCAGGACAAGAAGCAACGGATGGAAACTCATCAAGGAGAGAAGCAACCTGGAACTAAGGAGAAACTTCCTGACAGTGAGAACAATTAACCAGTGGAACAACCTGCCTCCAGAAGCGGTGAATGCTCCAACACTGGAAGTTTTTAAGAAGAGACTGGGCAGCCATTTGTCTGAAATGGTATAGGGTCTCCTGCCTGAGCAGGGGGTTGGACTAGATGACCTCCAAGGTCCCTTCCAACTTTATTATTATTATTAGTAGTAGTAGTATTGTGATAATGGGTACCAGGTTTTGGCTACACTGAGAATTAAAGAAAAAGAAGATACAGAATATGTTCAAACATGGAACCTATTCTATCAATGGCTGGAAAAACAGGATAGAGAGTAAACTTAATTGGTATTACTAAGCCTAATAAATTAACCCAGGCAACACATTGTTGATTAAGCACTAAGGAATTGTAATAACATTAAATTAATAAAATATTATATAAAAAAAATATTGGAAGAGGCTAGCTATCATGTCAAAAGTTCCTTCTTTTCATTAAACTGGACATACCCAATTCCCATACCCAATGGATGGCTGTGAAAGTTGGACCGTAAGAAAGGCTGAGCGCCAAAGGATGGAGGTCTTTGAACTCTGGTGCTGGAGAAGACTCCTGCAAGTCCCCTGGACTGCAAGGCGATCCAACCGGTCGGTCCTAGAGGAGATCAACCCCGACTGCTCTTTAGAAGGCCAGATCCTGAAGTTGAAACTCAAGTCCTTTGGCCACCTAATGAGAAGGAAGGACTCACTGGAGAAGAGCCTGATGCTGGGAAAGATGGAGGGCAAGAGAAGAAGGGGACGACAGAGAAGGAGGGGGCTGAATGGAGTCCCTGAAGCAGCAGGTGTGAGCTTCAATGGACTCCAGAAGATGGCAGAGGACAGGAAGGCCTGGAGGAACGTTGTCCATGGGGTCACGATGGGTCGGACACGACTTCGCAACTAACGACAACAATGGAAGTGAATGTTGGACTCTGAAGAAGCAGGAGAGAAAGAAGATGGAGGGGTTTGACCTTTGAGGTTGGAGGAGACTCCTGAGAAGACCCTCCCTTCTAGCACTGATGATGTCACCTATGTGGGTCATGAAACATGTGCAAGAAAACCACCAAGCTCAGAGAGCACCAAGGACCCCACAGTCCTTCCTTCCTTCCTTCCTTCCTTCCTTCCTTCCTTTCTTCCTTCCTTTCTTCCTTTCTTCCTTTCTTCCTTTCTTCCTTCTAGCACTGATGATGTCACCTAGTTGGGTCACGAAATGTCTCCAAGACATCTCTTCTTGCTTCATCCATTTCAGATGGACTGGAGAAAGATGGTCCTGCCTCATAAACTGCTGATCGAAGGGTAGGCAAAGAAGCAACACAAAATGGCTTTCGGTTTGAGGTGGTGGATAACCAGGGTTAGAATCGAGAGCGGGGAGATGGCAGAAGCTGGCTACAGACTAGGGCTTGACAGAAGAGTTCTGAAGAAGATGCTTGGAGAAGCTTCTTGGAGAAGATGCTCAGATACCCAAAAGTCTCCGTGCCACCAAAGATCAGAACAAGACAAGCTGTTCTGTGCGGTCTACTTTGGGATGCCTGAGAGTCCCCTGGACTGCAAGGCGATCCAACCGGTCGGTCCTAGAGGAGATCAACCCCGACTGCTCTTGAGAAGGCCAGATCCTGAAGTGGAAACTCAAGGACTTTGGCCACCTAATGAGAAGGAAGGACTCCCTGGAGAAGAGCCTGATGCTGGGAAAGATGGAGGGCAAGAGAAGAAGGGGACGACAGAGAAGGAGGTGGCTGGATGGAGTCCCTGAAGCAGCTGGTGTGAGCTTCAATGGACTCCAGAAGATGGTAGAGGACAGGAAGGCCTGGAGGAATGTGGTCCATGGGGTCGCGATGGGTCGGACAGGACTTCGCAACTAACAACAACACCCAATTCCTACAACCATTATTCATTTGTTTTAGCCTCCAGCCCCCTAATCATCTTTGTTGCTCTTCTCCATACTCTTTCCACAGTCTCAGCATGTTTTTGGTATCGTGGCAACCATAACTGGATAAGTAAGTCAACATCCTTGACTCACTTATGGAATGGAGCCATTTTTTTCATATTCTCGCAACAGACTGAAGCAGAAACTCACTCCAACAGCTAGATTGGCACCAGACACTCAGAGAACAAACAGCAGCTTAACGAGAGGCGTGTCAACCAAGCTTCCTGTGTTGTGTGGATGCAGATGTGGGACTTCACCTGAAGGGGTCAAGCTTGCAGGTCTCAGGACATGGGGATAATAAAATTGGTTCATGCGCCTGTTTAAAATTTTTAAACTGCCTGACAGCCGAAGCTTTTTACAATAAAAAGACAGTTAAACCCATAAAAATCAAATAAAGTGCAAAATAAAGACATCACACAATGCAAACTAGACAGCTGCAAGGCAGTCATTCAAAGACTCAAACAATGTACATTAAAATGTCATTAAAATACAATTAAGCCAGTTAAAAAGCAAGGGAGACTAGAAAGGCAGTCATCTAAATCTCAAAAACATAGGACATAAATACAATTAAAGTAAGATTAAGATGTCTAGGAAAATAGAAAAATCTTCCCCCAGGGTGAGAATGACGGGAATGGGGGTGCCAGGATGCCACATATGGGGTGCCACCACAGAAAAAGCTCTCCTGGTTGCAGAGACCCACCTCACCAGCTTTATGTGGGGGATGGGGTAGATCTGGGGGAAGGTCTTGATTGAAAGATCTTTAGATCCAGATAGGAGAAGATGCTCCTTCAGATAAGCTGGTCTTCAGTTGTTGGGACTTTTGAAGATCAAACTAAGATGGTCTTCAGTTGTTGGGACATTTGAAGATCAAAATAAGATGGTCTTCAGTTGTTGGGACTGTTGAAGATCAAACTAAGATGGTCTTCAGCTGTTGGGACTTTTGAAGATCAAAATAAGATGGTCTTCAGCTGTTGGGACTTTTGAAGATCAAACTAAGATGGTCTTCAGCTGTTGGGACTTTTGAAGATCAAAATAAGATGGTCTTCAGCTGTTGGGACTTTTGAAGATCAAAATAAGATGGTCTTCAGCTGATGGGGCTTTTGAAGATCAAACTAAGATGGTCTTCAGTTGTTGGGACTTTTGAAGGTCAAAACCCACTGAACTTCTGCAAGGTTTAGAGATATCTCCTGTAGGCTGGCATCTCAGACCTCAAGAAGAATGGTTGAAGGCATGGGGTATGTCTAGTCTAATGAAAAGAAGGACCAGGGCTGACATGATAGCAGTCTTCCAGTATTTGAGGGGTGGCCACAAAGAAGTGGGGGGTCTATCTGGTCTCCAAAGCACTTGAGGGCAGGACAAGAAGCAACGGATGGAAACCAATCAAGGAGAGAAGCAACCTGGAATTAAGGAGAAACTTCCTGACAGGGAGGACAATTCATCAGTGGAACAACCTGCCTCCAGAAGCGGTGAATGCTCCATCACTGGAGGCTTTCAAGAAGAGATTGGACAATGGTCTAGGGTTCCCTGTCTGAGCAGGGGGTTGGACTAGAAGACCTCCAAGGTCCCTTCCAACTCCGTTAACTCAGTTATTCGGACCAACCTGGGATTGGGATAAGAGGCGGCGTGCGTCCTTTCCAAAAACGCAACGTTGGTCCTTGGCAAGAACGGGGGCGTTCACCTCTCTTTCTTCTTCTCCTCAGGCTCTTTTGCAAGTGGCCAAGAACCTCTTCACTCACCTGGGTAGGTATCCAAGACCATCCAGCACCAGCCAAGGACAGGAGAAAGAAACCAGGGCCTGACATAGGACATCTCTGCTTACAGATCCACCACTTAAGAGATTCTACTGATGATTTGGCCTCATTGAAATTGGGGGTGGGTGGGCTGGCCGGGGTTACTTTCCAGTGGAGGTGGGATGGGAATAAAGCTCCTCTCCCCCCCCCCAGAAGATATATGTCTGAGGTCCACCAGACGGTCCTCTGAGCTTCTCCCCACTTCATTTCCCTTTCAGATGATGTGCTGGACCAGTTTTAGCCATCTGGTCCATTAAATAGCTAGCTTAGGAATTGAGAACTGTGTTAGAGCTTTTAGCATTGAAAGGGTTAAACGCTGCCTCCTTAAGAGGTGGCCTCTGGGAAATGTAGTCTAGTTGTCAGTCAGTCCTATATCTTGTCTAGTCAGTGGGAGGGGCTTCAAAGTTGATTACAGGATGTCCTGGCTACGTGCCAGGCTTGTAAAAGCCTTTGTTTTAATCAAGTATCATGCAAGTATCGATTGGCATCCGTAACCACGCCTAGCTGAGATGGGGAATTATTCCTTTTTACTTTTAATGAAGAGAAGGACGAGGGGGGACAGGATAGCAGCCTTCCAGTATCTCAGGGGCTGCCCCAAAGAAGAGGGAGTCAAGCTATTCTCCAAAGCCCCTGAAGGCAGGACAAGAAGCAACGGATGGAAACTAACCAAGGAGAGAAGCAACCTAGAACTAAGGAGAAACTTCCTGACTGTGAGAACAATTAACCAGTGGAACCACCTGCCTCCAGAAGCGGTGAATGCTCCAACACTGGAAGCTTTTAAGAAGAGACTGGACAGCCCTTTGTCCGAAATGGTATAGGGTTTCCTGCCTGAGCAGGGGGTTGGACTTGATGACCTCCAAGGTCCCTTCCAACTTTATTATTATGATGATGATTATTATTACTTTTCTGGAATGTAGACTGAGATGCGTCATAGTCCTGACCCAGATAGCGTAAACTCCGCGAGATGGTTTTAAACAAGTATTTATTGTCCAGGAATTCTAAGCAGAGACTTCTTTTGCAGTAGATACATCCGGTCATATTTATATAATAATAATAATAATAATAATAATAATAATAATAATAATAATAATAATAATAATAATAATAATAATAGTAGTAGTAGTAGTAGTAGTAGTAGTAGTAGTAATAATAATAATAATAATAATAATAATAATAATAATAATAATAATAATAATAATAATAAAGTTATTCGTATCTGTCCATTCTCGCAGGTAAAAAGGGAATAATTCCCCATCTCAGCTAGGCATGATTACGGATGCCAATCGATGCGTGCATCCAGTGGAGGTGGGGTGGGAATAAAGCTTCCCCCCCCCAGAAGATACAGTAGTGGCCAAAATTGTGGAAACCTTTTGGGAAAAAGTGTATTTTTGAGGTCTGATGGCTAATAACACCACTTTTGGGGGGGGAGTAGTACCATAAAATTATATATCAATGGAAAGATCATTTAATCAAGAATGTAATGCGACAAAGTTTGTTCAATTATCTGCACTGCATCCTATGAAAAGTGATAGCCAAATAACCAGAAAAAGGAAGCACAACTTGCTCAGGTTGATCTCAGGTAGCTTTCCTTCCTCCGATGGTAGCCAATGAGCGTGAGTGCTTAGAGACCCAATCAGGTGTCATCTTGTTTTGGCCATGAGCCAATCAGATCACGGTAGGATCCAGTGATTGATATCCTGTATTGAAGCCGAGAGGAGGACATTGGTCAGTGTGTTATGTGATGGCTATCAAGTCGGTTGGGGTTTTTTTTGTGTGTTCTTTCATTGAGTGAGGTTGTAAAATGTAATAAAATTAAAGTAATAGTGCAAAGAGTTGACCGGTCGCCCAGAAAGTGATGTTAAAATAGTATTATTAAGCGAACGAGGCTGCAGTTATAAAGAAATTGGAAGAAAAACGGGTGGAAACTGAACCAAAGGGGGCATTTCTACTGGACGCTTTTCCCAAAAGGTTTTCCACAATTTTGGCCACTGCTGTAGATGTCTGAGGTCCACCAGACGGTCCTCTGAACCCCTCTCCACTTTCTTTCCCATTCAGATGACGTTTCGGTGCTGCTGCAGGAGATCATCACGGAAGCCAGGAATCTCAGCAACGCCGAAATGTGGGTCTTCTCCTGGGCAGGAGGGCCTAATGGTCACATCTGGGCCCCTTGTGGGGGCGGCCTTCACGAGGAACAGCTAAAACAACCCTGCGGGGTGGGGCGGTGTCTCTGGATTGCTCCTAGAGGCTGCAAATCCTGGAGGGGAGAGCGTGGGCGTTGTCTATGTTTTATATACTTAAGTTTTATTTAAAGACATTTCCTGGATGGTTCTACTAGTAATTTGTGACTCCCAGTGGAGAACATTAGTCAAAAACAGAGAGTTTAAAAAAAAACATGGGCAGGCAGGGAGGGAGGAGGAGGAGGGAAGATGGAAAGAAGGAAGGGAGGAAGAAAGAGGGAGGGAGGATGGAAAGGAAGGAATGGGGGAAGAAGGAGGGAGAGGAGGAATGAAAGAGGAAGAGAGAGGGAGGAAAGAAGGAAGAGGGAGAGAAGGAGGGAAGATGGAAAGAAGGGAGGGAGGGAGGAAGAGGGAGGGAGGGAGGATGGAAAGGAAGGAATGGGGAAAGGAGGAGGGAGAGGAGGAATGAAAGAGGGAGAGAGGGAGGGAGGAAGGGACAGAGGGAGAGAAGGAGGGAAGATGGAAAGAAGGAAGAAAAATGGGGAGGAGGGAGGAAGGAAGGGAGGAACGAGTGAAAATAGAGAAGGAAAGAAGGAAGGGGGAGGAAGGAAGGGAAAGCAAGGAATGGAGGGTGGGATGAAAGAGGGAGTGGAAGGGAGGGAGAGAGGGAGAGAAGGAGGGAAGATGGAAAGAAGGAAGGAAGAAAAAAGGGAGAGGAAGGGAGGAAGGAAGGAAAGAGAAAAGAGGGAAAGAAGGAGGAAGGAAGGGCGAGAGGGAGAGAAGTAGGGAAGATGGAAAAAAAGAAGGGAGGAAGAAAAACAGGAAGGAAGGAAGGAAAGAGAGAAAAGAGAAGAAACAGGGTAGGGAAGAAATAGAAAAAACGCATCCTAGCCCTTCTCTGCACATAGGAGTAACTTTTGGAGTGGAGCATTGGTCCCAGACCTGCAGGAATGAGGGCAGCCATCCCTGCCAGGGCACCCCAGTTCCTCCTCCTCCTCCTCCTCCTCCTCCTCCTCCTCCAGTTCTCCTCCTCCTCCTCCTCCTCCTCTTCTTCTTCTTCTTCTTCTTCTTCTTCTTCTTCTTCTTCTTCCTCTTCCTCTTTCTCTTCCTCTTTCTCCTCCTTCCTCCCTCCTTTCTTCCTTCTTCCACTTCCTTCTTCTTCCTCTTCCTCCTCCTCCTCCTTCCTCCTTTTCCTTCTTTCTTCCTTCCACTTCCTCCTTCTCCTCCTCCTCCTCCTCCTCCTCTTCTTCTTCTTCTTCTCCTTCTCCTTCCTCCTTCCTTTCTTTCTTCCTTTCTTTCTACCTCCTTCTCCTTCCTTTCTTCCTTCCTCTTCTTCTTCCTCCTCCTTCTCCTTCCTTCCTTCCTCCTTTCTTCCTTCCTTTCTTTCTTTCTACCTCCTTCTCCTTCCTTCCTTTCTTCCTTCCTCTTCCTCTTCCTCTTCTCCTCCTCCTCCTCCTCCTTCTCTTTCTCCTTCCTTCCTCCTTCCTCCTTTCTTCCTTCCTCTTCTTCCTCCTCCTTCTCCTTCCTCCTTTCTTTCTTTCTACCTTCATCCTCCTCCTTCCTTCCTTTCTTCCTTCCTCTTCTTCTTCTTCTTCCTCCTCCTCCTTCTCCTTCCTTCCTTCCTTCCTTCCTGCCTTCCTCCTTTCTTTCTTTCTTTCTTCCTTCCTTCCTTCCTTCCTCTTCCTCCCCCTCCCCCTCCCCATCTCCCTCCCCCTCCCCCTCCGCTGTTTCCCACCTGCCAGGGTCTCTCCTCACCCTCTTCCCTCGCGGGATTCCCTTTCAGATGTTCGGTTTTCCTGCTGGACCGAAGCAATCACGAACTGGTGGCCAAGGTCTTCGACGGCGGAGTGGTGGATGACGAGGTGAGACAGGCAGGGGAACCGGAGGGCGAGAGGAAACGGAGGGGGGGCTGGACTAGAAGACCTCCCAGGTCCCTTCCAACTCGGTTATTCTGCCATTCGGAATGAAGGGGAGAAGGCATAACTCAGCTGGCCCACAACCCGGATCAGAAATCCCACTGCTAAGGAAGACGGTCGCGTGAGCCACGCCTGGTTTTAAGACCTTTTTTTCCCCCACAGTCGTTAAGCAGATCCATACCGTTGTTAAGTGAGTCAGGCGGCCGTTAAGCGAATCCAGCAATCCCCCCCCATTGACTTTGCTCATCAGAAGCCAGCTGGGAAGATCACAGATTGTGATTGCGTGACCCCCAGGATCCTGCAACGGTTGTCATGAGTTTATTTATTTTTATCAGTGACCACGGAGATGCGGCAACGGTCGTAACTGTGAAACGCAGTCCCTTTTTTCAGTGTTGTTGTAACTTCACCAAACAAACGGTCGTAATCCGAGGAATAGCTTTAAACCCAATTTCTTCTTCTGGAAGCTTTTAAGAAGAGACTGGACAGCCATTTGTCTGAAATGGTCTAGGGTTCCCTGCCTGAGCAGGGGGTTGGACTAAATGACCTCCAAGGTCCCTTCCAACTTCATCATCATCCATCATCATCATCATCATCATCATCATCATCATCATCATTATTATTATTATTATTAAGGTTGCAGATCTACCTGAAAGAAGGACGAAGGGAGGGGAGGGAATGGAGAAGGAGGGAAAGGCAGAGGGGGACAGAAGGAAGAAGAGTAAGGAGGAGGAGGAGGAGGAGGAGGAGGAGGAGGAGGAGGAGAAGGAGAAAAAGAGAAGGGAGGAGGAAGAGAAGGAAGAGTGGGGAGAGAGAGGGAAAGGCAGAGGGCGGAGGAGGAAGAGGAGGAGGGAGGGAGGGGGAGAGAAAGGGGGCAGAGGGCAAAAGAGGGAGAGGGAGAGGAGGGAAAGCCAGATTCACTTAACGACCGTGTTAGTAACGTAACAGCTGCTTTGATCCGCTTAACAACGCTGGCAAGGAAAGGTCATAAAATGGGGCAAAACTCGCTTAACAAATGTGTCACTTAGCAACATAAATTTGGGGCCCAATTATGGTCGTAAGTCAAGGACTACCTCTATTCCTAATAATAATAATAATAATAATAGTAATAATAATAATAATAATAATAATAATAATAATAATAATAACAACAACAACAACAACAACAACAACAACTCGATAGGCAGACAAAATGCCATATCCAGTCTGAACATCTGGCTGACTGTGCGATGATCAATAATAACAACAACAACAACAATAATAATAATAATAATATAGTTGTGCCTATTATTCCTCTTCTTATTCCTCTGCTCATTTGTGTCATGATAAGGTCTGCTTGCTCCCCAAATTACTGGAATGGCTGCCAAAATTCAAGAATTGTGCCTTTTTTCTCTCTCTCTCTCACGAGCGGTTGTTAAAAACACAGACTTGGGAGAAAAGAGAAGGGAAGCCCTTTTCAGAGCAGGAAATGTCAGGTTTCATCCCAGCTTAACCGACTTTCTCTCTTTGGTTTGAGCGCTTTGTAAATCTGGGTGTTGAGGTTTTGCAAGAAATAAATCTTTCCAAAAGCAATTTCCCTCCTTAGATGTTAACTTGTAAGTTATGAATGAGTTGCTTACCGACTTGGATAATTTATGGACAATTAAAGTGAAATATAGGCCATTTTTTTTTACTGAAATGGCCGTGTGTAACTGCTGTGTTCTCTCTCTCTGTCTCCACCAATATCTCTCAACCTGAGCAACTTTAAGATGCTGGCTGGGGGATTCTGGGAGTTGAAGTCCCCCCATCTTAAAGCATGCTATCTAGGGGATTCTGGGAGTTGAAGTCCATTCATCTTAAAGCATGCTGGCTGGGGGATTCTGGGAGTTGAAGTCCCCCCATCTTAAAGCATGCTATCTAGGGGATTCTGGGAGTTGGTCCATTCATCTTAAAGCATGCTGGCTGGGGACTTCTGGGAGTTGAAGTCCCCCCATCTTAAAGCATGCTATCTAGGGGATTCTGGGAGTTGAAGTCCATTCATCTTAAAGCATGCTGGCTGTGGAATTCTGGGAGTTGAAGTCCCCCCATCTTAAAGCATGCTGTCTAGGGGATTCTGGGAGTTGAGGTCCATCTTAAAGCATGCTGGCTGTGGAATTCTGGGAGTTGAAGTCCCCCCATCTTAAAGCATGCTGTCTAGGGGATTCTGGGAGTTGAAGTCCATTCATCTTAAAGCATGCTGGCTGGGG